CAGGGGCTGGATGCTTCCTGCATTCCCGCTCTTTCTCTTAGGAAAGAGCAGGAATTCGGGAAGCATTGGACCAGCATGCTGAATGGCCAGAGTGCGGGGAGGCGTGAGCAAGTGGGGGTGACCTTGTGGAGAGAGGAAGGAAAAAAGGCCATTTATTTATTTTCCCCTTTTCCCACCTAAAGTGCAAGCCCCTGGGAGCCACACGCCAGCAGCTGCTTCCCGGGATACCCCAGGAGCAAAACCCCCATGTGGAAATGAAGGTCGGGCACATGCAGGCTGGCTCTTGGGAGCCTCCAGATCCCTTCCGTCCCATTGAGGAGCCAGGATGGGAGCGGAGCCACAAAACACTCCGGTGCCACCAGTGCTGCGACGTGCAGCTCCAAACGGGAGGGCTGGGAGAGCAAATCCCAACCCTTCCCTCGCTCCGGGCACCGCGGTCTCATCCTGAGCGGGGCCCCGGCTCGGCCTCCCCTCCACCCTTGCATCCCGCAGCGCCGCTTCCCAAGGACGAGACAGGGACCGGGCTGAAACGAGTCCAAAATGTTTATTTCCAACGAGTACATTGACCACGTGGGGTGGGGACGCGCGCTACATCACGACTCCGGCCTTCCCGCGCTTGGGGCATTTGTGTTTTTTTTTTAAAATATGCTTTAAATTTCATTTAAGCCATCCCCCCACCATTGACATTGACACGGCCTCGCCGAGGGGCCACACGACACGCTGGCCCCTGCCATGAGCAAAGGTTGTAGGAAAATCAAATATAAATGCAAGAAATCAAAAGGGGAAAGTCCCATTTCAGCACTCCAGACATTCTTTAAAAGCCCAGGGGTTGCCTTTAACATCACCGCGCTGGAAATGTGTCACCGCTGCAGAGAGGTGACACCCACTTGTCCCGGTGTGGGACACAGAGCTGGCTGCATTTTGTTAGTGGGGTGAAAATACCCGGCAGTAAAACACTATCAGTGAGCAGCTAATTCCAAATCCCCCTTTTGGGCTTCTCCTGCAGCTTTTCTGTGTGTCTATTTATTCTTTTAGGTAAGAATTCAAGCAGTAAAATAGGCGAATCATTAAGAAAAGGTTGTTCCAAACCACTTCACAGCAGCGCTCGAGAAGGGGCTGGGGGGCGAGCAAGACCCCGGGCTCGCGGCTAGGCCGGCTTCACTCTCCATTACAGCAAACCAGCACGGAAAGGGAAAGATGAACCGTTTTACGGGATATTTACAGCTTTCCCGGCAGCGCCGCGCGCGGAGCCGGACAGGGAGCGGGGGCGAAAGCCGGGATGGGGGCGCTGGGAAGTTCCCAGGGACGTCTGGGCCGTTCGGCTTGTACAAACTCGTCCCGGGTGCCCCAAAGCGTAAGAACAGCGGGTCTTTGCGCCAGAAGGCTAGAAAAAGAGTACGAAAAGGTAGAAAACCCAAAAATGCACTTGTCACGGGCTAGAAAGAGTCACAGAAAGGAACGGAGAGGTTGGTTCCCTCCGGGAATTTAAGCCGAGCCTGGGTGGAGAGTGACCCTCTCGCAGCCGCAGGCAGAA